AAGCACACACACACACACACACGCCCGCGCTATTTTTCGAGGCTTTGGTGTTGCTATGAATTAGCCACATTCCTCCGGCATTCCGCCCGACAGTCGATTGAGATCATGCCAACGAAGCTGGCTGTCCTATTCTTCGGCATATTCTGCTCCACGCAGTGTATGTCTTTGGTGTACGTGTTCTTGGCGGCAGTCTTGGCAAACGAAGCTGCTGGGCAAAGCCAACGGATTGCAGAAATGGTAACCATTGCTGGCTTCTTGGCGATTGCCTTTATACTTCCTGCTGTTCTGTGCATGCGGGCATTGGTGTGGCAAGGAGCATGGAGGAGCTCGAACATCAACTTCGCGCTTTTCGAATTCAGAACTGCAGATGCTTCTGCTGCTCGGTGGACCATATCCATCCGGAAACTAAAGCACCACTACCCTGTGATCGAGAGTTGATCTTGGAGGCTGTGAAGAAGTGGTATTTTCAAGACATATCTTCTGCTCAGGAGAAGGAAGACGAAGCCTCCGACGAACCCCATTGGGAGAAGTTCAACCGGACGGCGCAGCAAGAGCTTCTGCCCATAGTCTTGGATTCGGTCGGCACCGGCCGGACGTGCATGTCCTACTTTTCAACCTTGGTGTGGGCGGCCAGCCTACCCAGTCTCATATTTTGGCTGCCCGCCTACGTCGAGAACGAGCATGGCTTCGAGGGTTCTCATCTCATTGTTTGGTGGGTCCGTTGCTGCTTGCACTGGGCCACCTTCCCTCTTGGCATCCTCTGGTATTTCAACGTCTACTGGTGGCTGTGTCTGCTTGGCCTCCGCATGGACAGGTGCTGCCAAGGAAAGCGCTTGTTGATTTCGTGCCTCTTGCTTCTTCCTCTCTTCTTCTTGGGTCTTGGGCCGGCATATGTCGTGGAGTTCTCCAGGGCAGCCACGGAGACCCCCAGCTTGCTTCCGGTGCTTCCCTTCTCTTTGCTGCTGGCCGCGGTGTTTTCACAGAGATGTCGGCTTTTTGGGGCTCGGTCCCCTGATCCGCCGACTTCGGCCCAGCCGGCGGAGCAGAGGAAGGACGAAAACGAGTCCGTTGACGCAACCAGCCAGGCAAATCTACCCCGTCGCGACGCGGCCCCGGACGAGGATCTGGTGAGTTGCACGTTCTGACTACAATGGAGACGTGCGCCATGGCACCCTTGGAGTGCGTTTTCAAACTCGGGTGCTCGTAATATGCTTGTGCACGGAGTTGGGAAGCCAACCTCCCAATCCGATGTGCGATAGATTGACATCATGCTTCGAACCTTTCCAGGAAGCCGCGGCCTTTGCTGTTGTCTCGATTCTTTCGGCAAACCTTTCGCAAGCAGGTTCTTTGGGTACAGCGCTAAAGAAAGCAATGCCTCGGATTCTTGGGACTCCCCTCTTCACCCATCTGGGTGGTTGTCAAAGTTATGGTCCCTTTTTGGGTCCTTATTATAATACGGCACCTATTATTTAAGGTACCCCAACAGGGACCATAATTTTGACAACTACCCATCTGAAGATGCTGTCAGCGATGTGTTTTTCATGCCCTCTCAGGCTTAAGGCCTGCCCTTGTGTCACGGCGAGTGTACATGGAATGGTGCGAGCAGGAAGTGCCAGCTGCTGAATCGCCTTTTCAAACGCACGAAACGTCTGAGAAAACGGAACAGGTTTTAGGGGTTAGGCTTTAGGATTTAGGGTTTAGAGTATTGCGCTTTCAGGTTTTAGTTTGTATGCTCGATCTTGCCTCTGGATGAGAGACCCCTAAACCCTAACCCTAAACCCTAAACCCTAAACCCTAAACCCACGCCGCAGCCGTAGTCGGGCTTGGAGAGTGCCTTTTCCCGATTGGCCTCCGAAAAGATGCCGGCATCTCAGGAACCCCCTTTGGGGTTTGGGGTTTAGGGTCTGTCCCAAAAGCCGTAAACAAATCCTAAGCCCCTCCAAAAAGCCCCCGCACCCTAAACCCTGAACCCTAACCCTAAACCCTAAACCCTAAACCCTAAACCCTAAACCCTAAACCCTAAACCCTAAACCCTAAACCCTAAACCCTAAACCCAAAAAAGCCCTGGCCCCAAGCGCAA